GGTCCAAGATTATCTTCTGTGTCTGTGTTAATTGGTTTCCCTTTTCTTTGCTGAAGAGGGTCTGTGTAGTCCTTCTGCCTAGTCCACCATCTTAATATTTTATTTTTCATTGAAAAAATAGTTGAGTTTTTATTACTGTTTGATGTTAGCTAATAAAATCAAATTTTATGGTACACACATAATAAGAGTGAGCAGGGAAAGATCAGCAGGTGCCTAACAGAGGAAATGGAACTGGCATGAAGAAACGAGTGGAATTTAGAGAGAGTAGGAACCTAAGTTTTTGTATATGTGTATGTATGTAAGAGGTATTCTCACCTTTCTGAGGAATAGGTGACAACAAAAGAATAGATAAGACAAAAAGTGGTAAAAATAGATAAGAAAAAATGTGGTAGAAGTGAGCTTGGTGAACGTAGAGGAAACTGACTTGACTGGAGAATAGGAGGATTTGTTTTGTAGAACACGAAAAAATGAAATTGGAAAGGAAACATTGGATTGGATTGTGAAGCACATGCAATTAAGTGCAAGAGTTTAGGTAACCTTGATCCAAAGAGTATTGAGCTGTCACTTGTTAGTTTCTAAGCAAGAAGTGATGTAATAAATTGTCATAATTTTAGAATATTCAACTGTGATTGACGCCAAAAGGAGTTTGGAGATAGGAAAACCAATTAGGAATCTAATGAAGTATTTTACATGAGTGGAAATCATGATTAGAATGAAGTCAGCAGAGGGAAAGATTAATTTGTACAGTATTTTAATGGAGGATTTTTCTTGTAAACAGCCCACCCCTCATATTTCAGACAGAAGAGAATTGATAAGATATAGTTGCAGAATTTTAAGAACAGAAAGTAAAGCAAAGAGACCAAACCCATTGCCATTGAGTTGATTTCTACTTGTAGGGACCCTTTTGGACAGTGTAGAACTACCCCATAGGGTTTCCAAGGCTGTTAATCTTTACAGAAGTAGACTGCTTTGTCTTTGTCCTGTGGAGCATCTGGTGGGTTTGAACTGCTGACCTTTTGGTTAGTAGTTGAATGCTTTAACCACTACACTACCAGAGGTGGTGGTATTCATAGAAATGAGAAAGTTTTAAACAGCTGCTTTGTGGGGAAGGGTGATTCCCCACCACCACTATCCCATGTTGAAGTTAACTGGTGGTTGGATATTCATTTGAGTTTTTAGAGAATTTGTTTACAGTCACTTAATTGTCAGAGGGGAAATCTTCAGATAACGCTCTGTTATAATTATTTCGGAAATTCAGACAACATGAACATATTACATATATCTAGAAATAAAGTTGCTTAAGCATTTCTAAGAAGTGAGAGATTACTATAAAATAGAGCTAATAAATGTGCAGGTTTCACCTGTTTTAGTAAGTCTTACCTTTCCATTGTCTTGTGTTATGTTAAGGATACAGTGTTGATAGTTCCTATAGAGTTATTAATATTCAGATAGTCATAGCGACTTTAATAATTACATCACAGTCTACTTTAGTCCATTACAATGTTAACATTATTGAATATAAGATCATAATATTTGATCTTGCATTTGCTTATTTTGATTGTTTTTACTCTGAATTGAGTATAAAGCATTTTCTTTTGTCTTTTCAAATTATTTTTTCTGACTCTCTTAAAACTAAATTTTCTTTCAAAACACATAAATAAGAGAAATTGTTCTCCTGCTATTTCTGAAGTTCAAAGTTAAAATGAAGAGTTGCCACAATACTGCAGAAAATTTTATGTTTTGTATATTTTGGCCTGAATTATTTAGGCCAAATGGAATTCTCCCCTTTATTTGATGGCCTGTGATAGTGTTGACTTTTATATCATTATGAAAAATTAAGAAAGTTTATGGGTAAGTCAAGTTTTTCAGATTTGAGAAAGATAAAAAAAATATTTTGAGCAAAATTGGGATTGATTTATTAACAACAAATTTGATCTAACGTGGCAGGAAAATGTCCACACAAACACCAGGGAAAGTTAAATGTTTGTTGCACCCTCTTAAAAATAATTTGTTCTTATTTCTTTGCTAACTTTTTAAAATAGTGAATTAAGTTAAAAAGCCCGTGTCTTACTCTTTATAGTGTTAAACATTAACTTTAAACACCAAAATTTCCCTTTATTTTTAATGGTACCTTCTGTGACTGTGAATTTACAGAACTTTGATTGAATAACAGAAGTTTAAATTGTTTATACATCTACCAGAGTACTGTTAAAACAGTGGCTATCTTAAATATTTCAACCCTTTCGATGTTTTTTTGTGGGATGATGTGAAAAATTTATGATATTGATACTTATTTGATACTTATATAACTAGAACTTCTTGAAAAAAAAAATAGCCTGTTTTGTTAGTAAATTGGTTTTAATGGCTGCTAGTAAGTCAGGTAGTAGCCATTAAATGAACCTCTACTGCTGACATTAATTTGCAGGGGTCAACAGGACAAAACTCTACGACATGATAGCTGATCTGGGAGATGATGAGCTGGCCCACATCCCTTCAGGAATCATTAATCAGTCTAGGTCACCCTCTACTAGAATGACCGATCATGAAGGTGCAAGAGCAGAGGAAGGTACAAAATTTAGCTACCATGTTTATTTACATTGTGGAAGATGTTAAGTCCAAATCACATCTCCTTGATAATGCAAATTTTCTGCTATTTGGATATAATTAGAAAAATTTTAAATGATCATCAGAGAAGTTGGGCAGGCTCTTGGTGCAGTTATCCTAGGGAATTTTGAACTTTGGGGCTTCTGTTTCTTTATATTTTGATTTTGTTTTTAATGTTACGTATAGTTGTTTCTATCATAGGTTAATTCAGAATATCTTTCTGAAATTTAACTTTAGCTTAAGTTCTAGTAGCAGTAAAATAGTAATTTTAGAAGATAGGAAAGAAATTACATATTGAAAAGAGCTACTTAGTCATTTTGTCATATTGCTTCAATTTTGTGACTAATAACAACTGTCATTTATTAGGAGACAGCAAAATACTAGGCATTATGATTAGAACTTTACATATATATTATTTCTAAATATATATGTAACTATTACCTAATTTAATCATTTTAGAGCAAAGTAGCATCCAGTATTCTTTGATTTTGCTGGCAGTATATACTACTGGGAAAAGAGGGTTTTTTTGTTTTGTTTTGTTTTGTTTTTTAATTGCCTAAACCAAAGTGTGTAGGAAATGAAAGCATTGTACTTAATCAGAAGTTTATTTTAGCTGAAGATAGGTAGCTGTATTTGAGTAATTTATAATTATAGGTCTAGATAGTTATAATCCCAGGTAATTAGACTGAATTCTTACCAGAAATGTTTATAATGTGTGAAATATATATTAGATAATTTATTATTTACTAATTTGCTACATAGATTGAATTTCATTGATATTGCTGCTTTTTCTATGTAAGGTGATTTGTTTGATGCATTAGTCAAAAGTTGTCAAATACTGCTTGTCTTTTAAGACTTTTCTGGTAGCACCATTTTCCTTACAGTTTAAGTTAAAGAATTTAGCATTTTTCCCTTATAGTCATGTCTGAAACATTTACTAACCACCACAATCTGTAAAAATTTAAGGAAGAATGAAGAAATAATAATAAAACCAAACCAAAAAATAAGAAAGCATGAATAGCACTAGAAAAAGTAAAATAGCCTCTGTTGGTTTTTCTAGATCTTTTCTCCACTACTCAGTTATTTTCTTGTTTTATTTTGAGTATTTTAAAATAAACATACCAACTCCATTGTTTTTTATTTTATGTATTTAGTAGCTTCTTTCCTTCTTTGGTCTCCAAATAATGCCGAGGAATATTTGCTTATTGTGATTAGTATACATTTCACAAAAAGATTTTGCAGTAGATTTTAATTTAAGGCAAAGCCATACTTAAAATTATCAAACCACTGACTTGTGGAAAAAGCTAGTCAAGGCCAATCCTGTATAAAACCATTTTAGAGCTCTGTGTATGTGTGTGTGTATCTGTATATGTGTCTTTAAAGAAAAAATATAAATTGTTTTATCTCCTTCCTTTTTTGTTGTTACATATAATAGTAACTATGAAATAATTTAAAAATAACCAGTAACAAGTGCTTAATATTGAGTGCATTTAAGGTACCCAGAAGAAGAGTGACAGGATAACAACTGAGCCAGAGCAACACAATAACTTGGTGTTTGCCAAAGCTCTCTGAGTCATCTAACCCATTCTTGATAGTGAGAGGAAGGAAAAAGGGTAGTATTTGGTAAACATGAGTCTCATTATACTTTTCAAAGGGTAAATCTTATTAGAATTAGTTATTGAAGGAGATTTGAATTCTGCTAAGAGCTAAGAAGGGGACATTGGAGCTCATAATCTCTTACTTATTTTCATTTGCAACCCCCAACTTCATGCTTTCCTGTTTAAGTCCATGTTATACCTTGTTTTATAAAGAAAAAGGTTTGTTTTCAAGGAGAGAAATCTTGTACATTGCAACATTTCAGATTATTGTTACTGAAGACTTAAGGCCTATCATGTTGCTACTGTCATAAATGGAATTATTTATTGGCTTATTGGTTCTTAAGGTTTGATATAATTAGAGGAGAAAGAAAGTATTTAATATGTGAGCTACAGGTTTCCTTAATTATAGTGTCACTCAAAAAGAAGATTATTATAGCTTTGCAAAAAGGACCTTGTTATAAGATCTTTTTTGGTAGACCCTAAGATTGCCATAAGAGAAATGGTAGTAAGAAAACCGTATTCTTAAATTGCTTGAATAAATCTCTTAGGCTGCCTACTAAATGTCATAATTTCCTTCATTAAAGTAGAAACTGCTTTTAATCATTTTATTTTTCATTGAGTTGCTAATGACATTTTTTTATGTTTCTGTAACCATGTGCTGTAGTAGATAAATTTTATTACCAGTAATTGGATAGTTTTATAGATGTTAATTTCCTCTGCAGAGAAACAAAGGAAAATAAATTGAGAACCTACTGTGATTACCATAAGCCATATTGGTAGATGATTATGGAAAGGAGAAATATAGCTTGAAAGATTTTTTTTCACATATATATATGGAATAAATGCTGAATGATCAAGATAGTTTGCTGTATTTAAATAAATACATGTGTGTATGTATGTATTTAAGGAGCCCTGGTGGCACAGTTGTTACACTTTGCAGGAGGAAGATGTAGCAGTCTGTTTGTGTAAATATTACACCCTTGGAAACTGTGGGGCAGTTCTATTCTGTCCTAGAGGGTTGCTGTGCGTCTAATCGACTCAACAGCAGTGGATTTGGTTTTGATGTATGTGATTAGGGAGAGATGCATTTATATGACTAATTAGAAATAAGTATAAAAATTTTTTGTGTAATGAAATGAATCTGAAACGCCAGTAAATCTAGCTAATACTGCTAGGTACTTCCCTTAACATGCCCCTAAATTTGTCATTATCTGATCAGAATTATCTCTGTAAAAAAAGCATATATAAGAATGCAGAACAAATAATAATAAATTATTATTTTCTTATTGGACTTTTATCAAGATTTATGTTAGAGAATGAGTGTGTAATTGTGAATGGGAGTATTGTGGCATTTTGTTTTAACTTGTCTGAAAAATTATTTAAGATTAAAGGCAAAAATTTTCTTTGGCTTGGCTAAAAATGCTTTGAGAGTATGTATTTCCTAATGAGGTTTATATAATTTTTAAACATCATTTTAAACTCTTGATTTTGTAGTTACTAGCTTGCTGCTAGCAATACTGGTGGAACTGCATAGAAATGAACAATGCCACAGATTGTTCAGATTCAAAACAAATACTTATTGAAAGATTATTTAAGTGTACATTCTATCAAATAAATTCAAGCTTATTCTAGATTATTTGTTGACTTAACTTCCTTTTGTCAGTATCACTTAGGACCCTATTTAAGTCAAATTATATAATTTCCTGTGATACAATAAAATAACAAGGCATTCTAAATAACAGGTCATTTTACTTTTGCCATTTTTTATATCTGGAAGTCATTGGATTGTATTTTCTCAGAATCTGTTTCAGTAGTATTGTGATAACTGTCAGATTTCATTACACCTGTTGTTTCTTGTAGCATATTATGTTTATCTTTTTTTTATATAAAATTTTCAAACTGATGATCACCTTGAGTTTTTATATAATGTTTCCCTTTTAAATGTGCTCATCAATTTTAAATGTGTTTCGTATGTTGAACTGTTTTATATTAAAATGATTTTCTCCTTGCTTCTGAAGGTTAAAATTTTGCTTTCAAAGCATATGTATGAAATATTACTGAGAATTATTGTTTATACTATAACTATTACAGTAAAATATTCATAAAAATTTAATCAAAAATTCATGAGATATACATTTAAAAAAACTAAGTGAAATGAAACTTTCACCTGAGTTTAGTTAGAAATTGAAATGGCAAATAATTCTGATCAGAAACTGAAAGTTATGTATTTAGTCAATACAGATTAGCTGCTTCATTTTAGAAGTATCATGGTAAATAAAAGTAGAAGTTAAAAATCAAAGTGTTAAAGCAGCAAGGCATTCTAAAAAGCACTTGCATTTATATTGGATAAAAAGGAAACTACATTATTGCAGCTACTGAAGGGGAATCTGGTCAGTTAAGGCTTCCTTTCAATAAGCAGTTACATAGCAGGCTGTTTAGAAACTATTTACATTTGAATGCTTTTATTAATTTTTATCGGGAACTAGCACACCTAGCACTTCAAAGCAAATAGGATGTAAAATGAAAGGATTTAGGAACTGCCTACTATGTCTTTGATGAGACCCAATGCCCATGAATAGTTCAAATATGGTACTTAGCACTTTTTTTTAATTAAAATGTATTCATTTTCTTATTAAACGTGTAAATTATAGTTATAAATGTACAAATGATAGCGCTGGAGAAGGATTTAAATAGACAAACATTTTGTGCCCCACTTCTTGAATAATCTATCTAATGCATATTTTATTTGTGGAAGGTTATGTTGCAGTTCTACACATTTGTTTATTACCACTCAGATATAGGATTTTTGGGGTGGAAGAAATGAGGGAAAGTGGGAAAATAAAAAGTAATTATATTACTGAATATTGTAACTGTTAAGTGCTTACATTTCCCCCACAATATTGTCTTGTACTGTATGATTTTTCAGCATTTAAGAAGCGGTTTTGTTCTTTATAGCTGAACCAATAACGTTTCCATCTGGAGGAGGCAAGTCATTTATTATGGGTTCTGATGATGTTTTGTTAAGTGTACTGGGCCTTGGAGACCTTGCAGACTTGACGGTAACAAATGATGCAGACTATAGTTATGATGTAAGTGCAGTTTTTTTTTTTTTTTTTTTTTTTTTAATTTTTTAATGATTTAATAGAAGGCTCCTTGTTTTTTGGAATCACTTCTAACTAATACAGAATTAATGTCAAGGTGCATGGAAAAGATAAGTTTAAAATAAGTGTGTCAATGTGTTGATTTGAAGTGATATGTAGGGGGTTTTTTTTAGTAATTACTTTCTTTGTGATATTTAAATTATTCTTAGGTATTGTGGTGGATTAGCCAGGGGTTTGGGAGGATTACCTTAAAATGTTGGTAGATAAATAACTTTCAATTATTTATACAAATTAAACCATATTTTGGTGTTAACAAGGAAAAAATATAGATGATTTGAACCACTTATTTGCCTTTAGGATACTTCTTAAAAAAACATGTTTTATTCTTGAACTTTCATTTTCTTAAGAATAATGTTAAAGTTAGCTTGCATCATTTCCTGTATACTTATCCTTTATTTGAGGGGTGTAGGGAGAGGGCGGAGAGATGGAAAGGACAGTGTTAGAAGTGGTACTGATTTTGGGTGAAATTTTATTCTAGAAAATTAACTTTCAATTGAGAGTTAGACTATACTTTGGATTTTATGTTACTGATTTGTAGTTTCTCAGCAAATTATATTTCTTTCCTTTTATAATGAATTTCTTCCTTTTTTTTTTTTTTTTTTTACATTTTATACTTGTTAGAATGCTTCTTAGAGAAGTCAGTTTTGGTGGGCTGGATTATTCTCATTAATATTTTTGAATTATATACGTTATTAAATTTTAGTAAACTTGTAACTGCTTTAGAAGTTTTTATGTAGCCTATCTTTACAGATGGAGAAGTGAAGGTAAAAAGAGTAACCTTTATCAATATCAACATTAGTGGAAGTGGGATGAAAATACTCTTAAAGTGTCTTTAGTTCAGACTTGGAAAGTACCTTATCTTGCTACCTTTTAAAATTTCTCATGCTAATAAATTTCCTAAATGATAACTTTACTGTTACTACTGTACCTTGAAGTTTAGGTGGTAATTTATGTAATTTTTAATGAATTTTGTTTAAAATATTACAGCAGTGGTAGTTATTACATTGTTCTCATCTAACATTTAATAAGAATTTTGCGTTTAGCTTAATGATTGCATTTAAGCAGATTAAGGGCTCTTCATTTGATCTAGATATTTGAAAGGTTAATGCTATTATTTTTCTTAGTTCTTAAGTGATAAAAGTGTGTTGGTATAAAGCTTTTAAGGTACGTTATGTTTCCACTGGACATTTTAGAAAAACAGTTTTAAGTATATGTTTTAAACACATTCAAGGGGGGTGGGGCACAAAGAATTCCACCTGCCTATCTATTTACTCCTTTTACTACTAAATTTTGCGGTGTCTTTCTTTTTAGTTGCCTGCCAATAAAGATGCCTTTCGAAAGACATGGAACCCCAAGTATACCCTACGTAGTCATTTTGATGGAATACGGGCGTTAGCTTTTCATCCTGTAGAACCTGTGCTGGTGACTGCCTCTGAGGACCATACTCTGAAACTTTGGAACTTGCAGAAAACTGTTCCTGCCAAGAAGCAAGTATTTTAATGTTAGCCTGTTTGGTTTGTTCCATGTTTTTTTTTTTTTTTTTTTTTTTTAAGCTTTGCTAATAACTTAATCATTCCTATTTACAGCTCTGTATCTTTTACACATGTTTGTTCTTATCCAGTGGCTCCAATATCAACCAGTGACTGTGCTTCTTTAATTGCCTTCTCTCCCTGCTTCTTTCAGGAGTGCCTCTTTAGATGTAGAGCCTATCTACACATTTAGGGCCCACATGTAAGTTTTCTTGAATTTGTATTTAGTTAACACTTTTAGTTATTGTTAATTTTTAATTATCGATCTACAAACTTTGTAATTTTTTCATGTTTGTTTTATCTTAGAAAAGGCATATTAGTTAAATAATACCTCATTTGATTAATAATTATCAGTGAGAATATAATCTGTATTACTCAAATGTACATATTTACTCTAAACAGTTTTTAGATACCGCATAAATTCAGAAGCTGGGGAGTGGGGGGCAGTTTTTCCTTAGGCTTTATAAGTAATTTTTTCCCTTTCTTTTTATAATAGTGGCCCTGTTCTATCATTAGCTATTAGTTCTAATGGAGAACAGTGTTTTAGTGGTGGTATTGATGCAACCATCCAGTGGTGGAATATGCCTAGCCCTAATGTGGATCCATATGATACATATGGTAAGTATTACTAAAGGCTCAAAACTTTATTTATTTTTTTTTTTTAGGGGATCAGAGCCTATAAATAAATACTTCAAATAGTATTATAAGGTATCCTTTCCAGATCTGATTTTTTTTTCTGGATTATTATTATTTTTAAAAATTTTGTTCTTATTGAGAATATATGCAGCAAAACATACACTGATTTAGTAGTTCGTACAATTCAGTGTCACTGATTACATTCTTCTAATTGTGCATCCATTCTCACTTTTCTGAGTTGTTCCTCCCAACTCAATAACATAAACTGAATGCCCCCTAAGCTTCCAATCTAACCTTTTGAGTTGCTGTTTTCAGTTTGATCCCATGTAGATAGTGTTTAAAAGACCATATGTTCAAGGCAGACATTTTTTACTAGTTAAGGTAAACTCTTACTTGGTTTTACAAAGACCTCAGGGTATTTTTGATTTAAGGTTTAAAGATTATCTCCGGGCAATAGTTTGAGGTTCATCCACCTTCTGTGCCTCCGGAAAATCTAGATTCCAGGAGAATTTGAAATTCTGTTCTGCATTTTCCACTTTTTGATCAGAATTCTTCTGTAGAATTTGAAGAAAATGTTCAGTTATGGTAGCTGGACACCATCCATTTCTTCTGGTCTCATGCAAAGTTGGCAGTTGTTCACAGAGGCAGTTAACCACACATTCCATTTACTACTCCTGTTTCTGACTCTCCTCCTTCCTATGTTGGTCCATCCAAGTGGTCTTATTGCAAGGTTCTTTAAATATATATTTTATGTTTATGTTATGTGCGTGTTATGTATGTATGTATGTTATGTGTCCTTATTTAGTCCTTCTATTTGATAGCAATTTGCTTTATTAAAGGAAAAAAGAAAGATCATGCCATGAGTATTTAAGCATGAGTAGTTGATGCTGTCAAAACACAAAAATCTGTATTACTCATAATGTCAGTTCATTTCACCCCTGCTTAGAAAAAAGTGAAGAGAGAAAAAACATACAAGGAGCAATTTTTTAAACTTAGTAAATAGCTTATAGTTCAAAAATATTTAGGAATGACTATGGAAACAAATAGGGACAGTAAGGGTGTAAATCAGTACAACTTTTCAGGAGGCAAAATGTTTTTAATGTCAATATTTAAAACACCCTTTGATTCACAAACATCACTTACAAATCCTACAGAAATACTTATATGTATATGTTCAAAAGGTATACTTTGCAGCACTGTTAGTTGTCATAAAAAATTAGAACAAATGTTTATTATTATGGAAACGGTTAAATAAACAGTGGTCTATTTGATGGTTAGGAGCTCTGGTGGCATAGTGCCCCAGGCATTTGACTGCTAACCAGAAGGCTGGTAGTTCCAACCCCTCAGCCACTCCTCAGAAGGAAGGTTAGGCAATCTACTTCTGTAGTGATACCACCTTGGAAAACCCAAGGAGGGGTCGCTGTGAGTCAGATCTAATTCCACAGCAGTGAGGTGGTTTGTTTGTTTGTTTGTTTGTTTGTTTTCCAGTTTATCTCATGGTTGTTTCATTTAAAAAATATTCCAGAGTTCTCATTTCTTTTTACTCAGCATACACTTGGAGACTTCATTTTCCAGGTGTGGTGTTAAGCAGAACATCAAGAAATAAGGTTTATTGTTAGCTGCTAGTTAGCCATTTCCAACTCATGACAACCTCATGTTTGCAGAGTAAAACTGTTCCATAGGGTAGACTAGGCAGGAGTTATTCATAAATTGGGTTGGATGGATAAAGTGTTACAAGAGTGATTCCTGGGTGTTTTTGTTTTCTTTTTTAAATCATAGCTTTTATTGAGATAAAATTTATATACCATAACATTCACCCTTTTATAGTATACAATGCAGTACTTTTTAGTATATTCAGAGTTGTGCAGCCATCACCGTGACTCTGATTTCAGAACATTTTCATCACTACTCCTGGAGTTTTGACATGAGCAACAAACAGTATATGATAGCATTTATTGAAATGAGGGCAGAATCAGAAGGTAGAAGATGGTGAATTGAATATTTAGGCATGTTTGGAGTTGACATTATGAAGTATGTAATATATAATTCTGGCATTCAAAAGGTCTGGGTTGGAAATAAAAATTTCACAGTCTTCTCTATGTGGAAGATGATTAAAGCTGTGAGAATGGATGATAGAACATAGGCAGGATGTGTTATGTAGGGTGAGATGAAAAGGCAACCTGGTATTAAGTCCTGAGGAACTCTGACATTGAGAGGATAGCTAGAGCAAGTGAGCCAACAAAGGAGACTGAGAAGGAGTGGCCCAAGATGTAGGAAAAAGCCAGCAGAGTGGAATCATTGAAGCATAACAAAAGAAGAGACCATTTTGAGGACAAGGAAGCACTTTCATATGGTGCAGAGAGGTCTAATAATAGGAGGGCAGAAAAGTTTCTTTTTAGTAAGAGACAAATATGTCATCCAGGTCTTGGCCAGACAAAACTTGGACCCGGGTGCTAAGACAAGAGAATAAAAGGACCTCTTTCAATACAGACCATATGGATGAAAAGCAGTTTGTTGGGAATAGCAAAGAAATGTTTTGTGTCATCAAAGAGAAAATATTTATTAAGTTTGACAGAATAGATGTCATCATTGGTAATCGCAGCAAGAGTTGTTTTGATACGGTGATGGTATCAGAAGCCTTATTGAGATGACTTGAAAAGAAAATGGAAGGTAAAAAGTATATTTACTTAATACACTTTTCTACTGTTTGATGAAAAGGTGCACATTTTTAGTTTGTTTAAGTTGAGAGCTTATTCTGGAGTATATGTGTTTGGTGTGGGAATGGTCCCATGGAAGAGAAGAATATGACAGTATAATAGAGTGAGAGTAAACATGAAAGCAAGTTAGTGAGATAAATGAAATCCAGACTATGATGGAATTAGCCTTTGATAGGAAGGAGGACAGTTCCATGCTTGTATCTGGAAGCAAGGGGACACTTTTAGACACTATACTCACTCCTCACTTACCGACATGGTCGGGTTTAGTGCCAGTGTCCTTCCCTTCCTCTTCACTCACCACCCATTAGGTGCCACATCTTATGTTGTGTGTGACATGGTGGTGGGCCCCCTTCCCTGCAGGGGTTGGGAGTGGTGGGTGTGGTGGTTGGACATTGTCTGCCGTCTGCCCTGAGCAGGGACCCTGCTTGTTCTCTGTCCACCCGGACCCCACAGACACGTGGCCCTTTTCCCTCTCCCTGTTCTTCCCTTTCCACCACTCCCTGCTGACCTCTCTGGCGCCTACAGGTCCTCACCTGGTCTCCCCCCCCCCCC